GACTTTTAGAATAGAAAATATTAAACCATTAAAACCTAGATGTAGAAATTTGAATTCCAGAATTTAAGAATGTTAAAAACTAGAATCAACAAGTACGGTTTTTATACAAAAAATGCTAAAGAAGCATTTTGTTAGACTTCTAAAATAGAAAATATCAAAACATCAAAACCTAGATGTAGAAATTTGGATTCAAGAATTTAAAAATGTCAAAACATAAGTAGGAATTTTAAAATTGAATGCCAAAAATTTTGCACAAGTTTCTGAAATCTAGATTCTAAAAATTTCTAAAATCACATTATTAGAAATTAAAATCGTGGAAATTTTAATTAGAAAAAACTAGAGATTAGGTGTTTAGAATCAGGTAATTTTCAACTTTGCGTTCTAGAAATATAGAAATAAAATAAAAAACTCTGAAAATCTTTATTTCTAGCGATTTTTCGAGAATTTTAAAATTTTGTAGAATTTTTTGAAACGTACAATTCTAATAACTGAAACTAACTCTAAAATTGTTCAGTTAGAATCATTTAAAATTAGAATCTAAATGTTGCATTAAAATTTTTTATTGCTAAGTATCACAATCTAAAAAACTGCAAATTTCTACATCTTAAAAACTCCTAGAAGTTTTTTCTTATAACTTTAGATTCTAATTCTAAGTTTCGAAGGTTTTTAAATTAATTAATTAATTATAAAAATTTGGGTTTTTGCTCCCTAATCGTTTAAGTGTGTAATTATTAATTAATCGTAATTAAAGAAAAACAAAGCGTTTTCTTTTCCAATCAATTTTTTAATTATAAAACTTTGTAACACATTAATAAAATACGTTTTTAACAATCGTAATTAATAAACAATCCAATTACTTTATTTTTTTCTAATTTAAGATGATTTAATTGAATTTTTAATACCAATTAATTACGAATTAATTTCAATTAATTAAAATTGTTTGTGAAATAAGATTTTATTTTAATTAGTAAAAAAAACTCAACCCTTGGCATTTCTCCGTTCAATACCTCGTCACCATCCCTCTTGCCCTTCCTGCAGCCCTGGTACCTTGTTGACGTCATTTTCCAATAGCGCCTCCCACACTAAGCACCAGTTCAAGGCCCTTCACGGGGTCAACAAACGTCCCATTTCCTCGAAACACAGTATTTCTCACCACTAGATGACACCACAAACTCTACAGAAAACTGTAAAATTTTTCGAATTTTTTTCGCATTTTCTACACAATTGAAGCAGCTTAACGGTTGAAATAATTGTTTTTGATTAAATTTTAATATTTATCGACAAAAAAATGCAAATAAAGAGAGAAACAATTACAGTTTTCTGTAAATGAAAATACAGATTTCTGTAATTGTGAGATCTTTGTTTGAAAAACAAGCTTTATCCGGTCTAACTTCTGCCCTCCTGGTCACATGTTGACGTCATGTGGTCGCGATTACCCCTGCATCTTGCAACCCCGCGACATTAATCAAAAAATTGAGAGAAATTTTGAAATTTAAATATTTTATATCAAATTTATTAAAGTAGTTTAGGTTTTTTTCATTTTTTTTTGTAAATAAAATACAATAAATCTTGTTTCGGGAACAATTCGTTAATTAATTGAAATTAATTTGTAATTAATTGGTATTAAAAATTTAATTAAAACATCTAAAATTAGAGAAAATGACAAAAATGTAATTAATTAACAAAT